GCTGGGATCAACCAGATACATATGATCTGTACAATTAAAAAGGAAATACCAGTAATTCCAATGTAAATCGACAGCAGAATGCTATGTGAGATGCTGTTAAAAGCTACTTAAATCAAGAAAAATTAGCATCAATAAAAGTTCAGAATCAGCATCCATCAATAGATCATTAGTAACTTTAATCAATGCAGTGTCTGTGCTATAAAGTGGACGATGACCAGATTGAAATTGCTTAAACAAGTTATTATCCATACAAAGATAAATCACCTTGTTAAGCAATTTTTTTTTTCTAACAAAAAAAGTTAATTAAACTATTTTTATGGATGGTCATGAGGTGCTCTACTTTCAGAAAAGTACGTTAGATTAAATTGCAAAGTAATACCTCACAAGGAAAAACAGTAAATTTTAATAACATTACTTTTCTTAAATGAGACCACCTCAATGCAACTGACAAATACGACCTCCAAAGGACACAGTCTCTGAAACGAGATGCAGCTCTGGCATTAGTCCAGTAGTTTCCAGTAGAGAAAAGCATTGGCCAAGCCGGACGCAAAGTCTAGGTAGGAAGGGGCCACTGAGACTGCCTGCAGATCCCCAACTCTCTTTAAAGAAGATATCACCAGAAAGAAATAAAGAACGTTTTAATAGAGAGAAAGCGATCAGAAATCGCCTCAATAGGCTCGAAAGGAGGCTTACAGAGAGCTTCTAACACCACAGCCAGGTCCCACGTGGGGATGCAAGATCGTACCAGGAGCCTCAGCGCACCGCGGAGGAAACCTGTGGAGAAACGGGCCTGCAGGAACTCCAGCACTATACCAACCGTGCAGTTAACTGGGTCGAGCTGGTGATCTCCGCACCAAGAAGTGAAAAGTTTCCACTTCAAGGCGTACAGTTTCCTCGTAGAGGGAGCTCTGTCTGTACCATCGCATCCAGCCCCAGTGGTGCTGGATGAGTCAGAGAGAACCAGAGGGGACAGTGCGATGTCATAAGAGTCGCAAACAGGTCCACCTGCCTGGCCAAAAACTCTCGATATCTGCTTCACCACCCTGGGGTGAAGCATCCATTCCCCGGGCCTCGGCCCCTGCCTCGACAGGATGTCTGCTCCCATATTTAGATGCCCAGGAATATGCACTGCTCTCAACGAAATGAGTTTGTCTTGGGACCACACAAGGATCTGGTGCGCCAGCTTGTATAAGGGGCGCGAATGCAGACCTCCCTGGTGGTTGATGTAAGAGACCACCGCTGTGTTGTCGGTGCGCACCAATACATGACGATCTCTTAGGTCCAGGAGGAAGTGCTTCAAAGCTCGAAACACGGCCAGCATCTCCAGGCAGTTGTGCCACGTGAGATGGCGACGGCTCCACAGACTCCGGGCAAGGTGGCCACTCATGACCGTTCCCCAACCAGTGAGGGACGCGTCCGTCGCTAGCGTTGCGCGGCGACAAGGAGCTCCCAGCACCGGGCCCTGAGACAAGAACCAAGGCTTCCTCCACATGTCCAAGGCACGGCCGCGTGACCTTGATCATGCAAAGCGGGCTTCCCCTCGGGGAGAACCCCTTAGTCTTGAGCCACCACTGTAGGGGTCTCATGTACAGCAGGCCAAAAGGTATCACCTTGGACGCAGCTGCCATCAGACCCAGCAGTTTCTGAAACTGCTTGACAGTGAGTGACCGGCCTTCTCTGACTCTCGCGACTGCAGTGAGGATCGACTCGATCCGAGCAGGAGACAACTGTGCCTGCATCGTGGTCGAATCCCACATCACGCCCAGATAAGTGGTCCTCTGTAATGGTGAAAGCACACTTTTCTTGGCGTTTAGTCTTAGCCCCAGCTCTTTCATGTGAGCGAGAATGACATCTCGAAGCCGAACCGCCAACTGCTCTGATTGAGCCAAAAACAAAACAATCGTCGATGTATTTCAGTATGCGGATGCCCTGGAGTTGCAAGGGAGCCAGAGCAGTATCCACACACTTTGTGAAAGTGCGGGGTGAGAGTGCAAGGCTGAAAGGAAGAACCTGGTATTGGTAAGCCTCGCCCCTGAAAGCAAACCTCAGGAACTTCCTGTGATGGCGAAGGATGGAGATATGGAAGTATGCATCCTTTAGATCTATCGTAACAAACCAGTCTACGGACCTGATCTGAGACACGACTTGCTTGATAGTGAGCATCCTGAACTTCAGTCGCATGACTGAGCGGTTCAACTGACCTAGATCTAAAATGGGACGCAACCCTCCATCTTTCTTCGGAACAATGAAGTACTGGCTGTAGAACCCGGACTATCTGTCATGAGGAGGGACCACCTCGATGGCCTCCTTCCTCAAAAGAGT